CCTATATCACCACCAACGTTCGCCAAGAACAGGTATATCTTTGTAATCATCGATGATTACACAAGATATATGTGGACCATACTGTTAAAAGAAAAAAGTGAGGCATTCGACAAGTTTAAGGAGTTTAAAACACTTGTTGAAAAGGATCTCAACAAGTCGATCTTAACACTAAGAACAGACAGAGGTGGAGAGTTTACTTCAAGAGAATTCCAGGATTTCTGCAACAAAACAGCAATTAAAAGGCATCTTACAGCTCCTTATACTCCACAGCAGAATGGAGTAGTAGAAAGGAGAAACATGACCTTAATGGAGATGGCAAGGAGTATTCTTAAAGCAATGAGGGTTCCAAACATATTGTGGGGAGAAGCAGTACGTCATTCAACATATCTTATTAACAGAATCCCTACAAGTGCTTTAAAGGAACAAACACCCTACGAATGCTTGAGAGGAAAGAAGCCAAGGATCGATCACATAAGAGTTTTTGGCTGTCTCGCTTATGCAAAAGTTGAAAACTTGAATCTAAGAAAGCTAGATGATCGATCACAAGCCCTTGTGCATCTTGGGATTGAACCAGGATCTAAGGCATACAGGCTCTACAATCCAGCAACAAGGAAAATCACTGTAAGCAGAGATGTTGTTTTCAATGAAAAAGAAGGTTGGAACTGGAAGGGAGCTGGTGAAATCGAAGAATCTAGACCAGGGATGTTCCATATGACATGGGGAGAAGCAGTGGACGAAGGACAAGGTCCATACACCTGCAACGACGAACAGAGTCGTGGAACAGAGCCTGGAAAAGAAGATAGCGAAGATGAACGTTTTGTCCAAGAGCAAGAAGAACATACAGATGCACCACAGCTAAGAAGATCTACACGTGAAATAAGACAACCTAAGCGGTTCGAAGATTACGTCCTCTTAGCAGATGTTGAGTGCGAGCTACTTCTACTTGCATTAAACGATGAGCCAAGAAATTTTGGTGAAGCAAAGGGCTCACCTCACTGGAAAAAAGTGTGTACAGAAGAAATAGACTCCATCAACAAGAACAAAACCTGGAGATTAGTCGATACACCTGCAGGAGTAAAGGTTATCGGACTAAAATGGGTATTTAAAGTCAAGAGGAATGCTGATGGATCTATAAACAAATACAAAGCTAGACTAGTTGCAAAAGGGTATGTGCAACAAGAGGGAATCGATTTTGAAGAAGTTTTTGCACCTGTTGCAAGACTTGAGACGATCCGATTACTCGTAGGTCTGGCCGCTTCCCATGGTTGGGAAATTCATCATCTCGACGTCAAGACGGCCTTCTTACATGGTGAACTAAATGAAGAAGTGTTTGTCTCACAACCAGAAGGATTTGAAAAGAAGGGAGAAGAGCACAAAGTTTTCAAACTTGCTAAGGCTTTATATGGTTTGAGACAAGCACCAAGGGCATGGAACACTAAACTTGATCAGATCTTAAAAGGCATGAAGTTCAAGAAGTGTTCAAGGGAAAGCTCTGTATATCGAAAGGAGGAAGATGGGAATCTCCTCATTGTGGCTGTTTATGTTGATGATCTTTTTGTAACAGGAAATACAATGGATCTCATCAAGGCTTTTAAGGTGGGAATGTCGTCGAAATTCGAGATGTCTGATTTAGGAAGACTTACATATTACCTTGGAATAGAAGTTAAGCAAAGCAAAGATAGGATCGAGATAAAGCAGGAGGCTTATGCACGCCGTATACTCAAAGAAGCTGGCCTAGACGCATGTAACCCTACTCACATTCCAATGGAGTTCGGCTTAAACATGTCAAAAGGGCAAGAAGATGAACCTGAGATAGATGCAACCATGTATCGAAGAAGAATTGGCTGTCTAAGATATCTCCTGCACACGCGACCTGATCTCTCTTTTGCTGTTGGAGTACTTAGTAGGTATATGCAAACTCCTAAGGAATCACATGGACAAGTGATGAAACAAGTACTGAGATACTTACAAGGGACATTGGCGTATGGTCTGAAGTACAAGAAAGGTGGCTCTAAGAAACTTATTGGCTACAGCGATAGCAGTCATAATGTAGACCCCGACGATGGAAGAAGCACAACAGGACATGTATTCTACTTTGGTGAAACACCAATTAGCTGGTGTTCCCAAAAACAAGACCGAGTTGCCCTGTCCTCATGCGAAGCCGAATTTATGGCTGCCACAGAAGCTGCCAAACAAGCGATCTGGTTACAAGACTTGCTGAGTGAGATTACCGGTTTGAAGGTCCAGAAACTACTTATACGAATAGACAACAAATCGGCCATCTCACTCACAAAGAATCCTGTATTCCATGGCAGAAGTAAACATATCCACAAGCGTTACCATTTCATCCGGGAATGTGTCGAAGAAGATCAAATAGAAGTCGAGCATGTACCAGGTGAAGAGCAATGCGCAGATATTCTAACTAAAGCCCTAGCAAGACTGAAGTTCAAGAAGATGAGAGATTTGATAGGAGTTCAAAACCTCTCTGAAAATGAACTGAAGCTTAAGGGGGTGAATGTTGGATAAGCTTCAATAACTTGAGGCCCAAAACATCCTAATCTAAATAGGATTAGGATAAGATAGGCCAACTAGAATTAGGAGTTATCTAGTTCTAGGAAAATAGGATTAGGAAAAGGAAATTCTAAAACCTATATATATGTTTATCGAGTTTGTGATAAACATATGAGAGAAGATTGATGTTTAGTTTTGAGCTAAGTTTCTAAATATAATAAAGAGAGCATATTCTTTATACAAGTGTTTCTTTCTTAAGCAACTATATAATCGGACCACATGAGAATATCTCTCGAGAGTTGTTGATCATGCTACAAAGAAATCTTTGACCATATCATATCAGGAATCTCTCGATCTTATTTCACTTACCATGCCAACGTGACAAACGGTTAAACCCAACTCGATCCGAATGTGATAATATAGCGGTACTATATGTACTCGAGCTAGATAGACTAGATTTTCGACATAAGTTTTGGAAATTGTTTTCCTTTTGAGTATTATTATGGGTTTGAAATCTTGTTCAAATATATCTTCATTTTTCCCCATAATGATATGTTCGGACCGCCTCCCGAGATCTTCTCTTTTTTACAAATAACATATTCAGGATATTTGGCTATAGATCGATCTCAACCCGATTTTAACCAAACATGGTAGTCTTATTGACCTTTTTTTTTGTTGTCTTATTATTGACTTGAACGCCAAATAATTTTTGGAAAGACAACTATATATTGGTCTCAGTTGTTTTTCAATCTTATTGCCGAACCTGTTTTGAACCGGCATGTTCTGAATCATCCCGAACTATCTCAACCGAAATGCTCTCTTTATTATTATTTTTTTTTTTTGTCTTTGTTTGTAGTCTTGTAGATTAACATATTTGTTGATAAATATTTTGTAGATAAACATGATATAATGTTGTTTTCTGTAAGCATATATAAACGCAAATAAACAAGTCAAGAACTAAAACATTTGATAGGATATATGCTTGTCTACGTAATCGGATTCTTTTACTGTCCTAATTTATTTATTTTTGAACCAAATCGGGGCAATCGGCGATTGTCAACATATTTTTCGAAATAAAATAATGATGAGATCATAATTAACTAATTATCATGATTTAATAAAATCCGTCGTATTCACTTACACTAGTGCAAGTAAATAAGTAATGATGCACTAACATACATAAAGTAGCAAACATTATGCTTTGACCTCAAATATATAACGTAGAACTATAGTCGTATGATATAAGTAGAAATACCTATCTGACTTGTAAACTGCATTACGTGGATCGTTGCAGTATTAATAAATATGATCATTTCATTTATTACGAAGAATAAGCAGTCTGGCATAGTATTTGTATATTAGTTGACTTAATTTGTGGCTGTAAGCCATGATCTTTAAATATCTATAGTAATTAAATAAGCTACCATTGATAGAAAAAATAATTTACGACAAAATAGTTAGTTTTGTGGTCGTTCGATATAAGAGGCTAAAGAGCATATTATTCACAAATCACAAGTTACATGAAAGACTGGCCGGCAAAAATAAGAAGAAGAAGTTACTTGAGAGAACGCTACACTCATGTATATCGGTTTTTCAGTCTTCACCGAAAGAATGCTTATCTTTTTAGAAAATATTTTTTCTGGTCATGAGCGTCTAGAGATGATAAAAAGAATCATTTTAAAAATAATGATTCAAATAAATTGAATTTATAGTCGTAGGTGCTTCATCCTGAATTGTAAGAACTCATTGTTTGACAGTTACTTATAAGGATTATCGATCTTTTAATGTCTAAATAATATTTAATCGATCAGTGATAATTTGAAATTTTGCTCAAAACCGATTAAAATCTTCATTGATTCAATCTTGTTAGAAATTCTGACAAAGAAAAACCAACACCGAACTAAAAAGCAAAACTGATTAATATCTTTCATTTTAAACAAACAATTATGTATCAAACTAATTTCTTATTGCTGGTTTCAAATTGTCATTAGCCAAGTTACTTACTTAGACCAAAAACAGGATTGGAATGGAGACCATACTTTCAATTAAACATGTGTTTTTGCAATTGTCTTCTTGACCTTTCAAATTTTATTTTTAACAAGTATCTTTATATATACACAAAATGAAATGATTTTCTTCTGACATTATATAGTAAACAAACAATATATCCGTGAAATGTGATGGAATCATATGGTCCGTAGAAAGTACACAATCACAAGGGGTTGTTTGTTCTCATGAGTGACTTGAGTCCCAGTCATCCATTATGAATGTCTAGAGATACACCAACAGTTTCATTTTAATTATTACGAAAACAATTATCCTTAAAAAAAAAAACATGTGTAACTAAAAAGTCACAAGGTGACCATTTCTCAACAAATCTTATGGCTGTGATAAAAAAATGTCGCAATATAAATCTATGTCACAACTTATGAACATCTTTCTAACCTTAAGAAAATATGTTTGCGTGAGTTTGTACTTCATAAGCGAACCAAAAAAAAAAAAAAATTACCACACATCATAACTTAACCAATTACACGGTTTAATCCAGCTTCTCAGTGGTTTACCGTTTACACATGAAGCAAATAGATCGGCACGACTATATACAAATGCAAGGAATGTAAAGTAACACACTTTATCATTGCAATTGTCTTGAAACTATATTGGAGGTAGCTTGTCATTTCCTTCAAAGTAGCCCATGATACCGGTTTTCAGCTGCAAAAGAGTTCATGATTTGAGAACGATTTGAAAAAAAGAATAAAGTGGGTGTAAGAATTTGAAAACTAAACAAGTTATAGTACCTTTTCGATTGCATTAGTTGTGCCTGAGACCTCTTGTGGTTGTTTTCTGAGCAGACTTATTCGAGCTTCCATTTGACGATTCTGTTCTTCGGCCTGGTAAGTGGATCATGAAAACGAGAAGAAATCAGTTTTAAATTGGCAAAATAAGCAAAGGGTTGTTGTAATGTGACTGTCTTTTTGAGCTTAACTACCATTTGCAGCAAAGCTGTTAATTTTTGTATCTCGCTCTTCTTAGCTGTTGTTAGTTCATTTGCAATGTCCATTACGTTCGTCCTGAGCACAAGTCATTGTGACATTAAAATCAGAAATCCAAAACTATGGTGAACTTACGGCCAACGCCATTAATGCATTATGATAAAAATGGATTAAGCGGCATGCATGAGACCTACTTATCTGTGAATAAGGGATCCAAACTCTGTTCTTCGACCAGCTGCTCGACTTTATCAAGAATTGGTCCAACCTGCAACAAAGTATTTTCACTTCACAAGTGTGTGACCAAAAAAGAGAAACCTCTTTACTAGTTTGATGTAAGAAGCAAATAAGTGATAACTAGCAACAGTTCTCTAATGTGGAAGTAGTTCTGAAAGTATTTCAAAAGATGTCTTGTCAATTGTACCTGATGTTCGTGACATTGTGCATCAAACTCATTCTGTAACAATGGGGGAAAACGTTAACCAAGAGTTACTTATTGACAACGCCATGAATAAAAACCCATCACGTTTTTTTAAAATGTTGAATTAAGATAACTATAATGATTTCAAAGTCAAGAGTTACCTCTAATGTCTGATGCATATCCACAATAACCTAGAAACATGTCGAGAGAGAGAGAGAGAGAGCAAGATATATTAAAATGGCTCCTCCTTCATTGATGTAACACCAAACATGAAACCAATGGATCTACATAAAAGACAATAAAGAGACATACCTGAGTATATAACTGATAAAGCAGCTTCTGCTCAGCCCCACTGAATTTCGAGAAAATGTCAAGAAAATCCTACATGGTTCACAAGAAGGAAAAACACAGAAGCTTCTTAGTACATAACACAGAAGAAACCTGAAGACTCTTAAGCTCTGATTTTACAGTCTCATCTTCAAATTACCAAGAAGACACTACCAGAGATAGTTCTCAAACTCATGGGGACAGGTTTTGGGTAATCATCAAACGGAAATAGTAAGATCCAGCCTCATATTGAAACACAATTCATAATACAGGAATGATGACTTAGTAAACAAAAATTCCAATCGAAAACCTTGTTTATCGATGTAGTTCAAGTTCCAATTATCAATCTTTCGAAATCCCTAAACCATAAAACTTCACTGGAGTGAGTAATTTTGCAGTCTCGAGTGAACAAAAAAAAAAACAAAACCTGCACTCTCAATCAGAACATACCCAATTTGGGGATTACTGTATTACATTCTATCCAGTAACTCCATCTGCCATTGTAACACAAGTTCCAATTATCATTCTCTCGAGAACCCTAAACCCTAAAACTCCACAGGGCCGAACAATTCCGCACTGATTCGCATAAATCAAAACACACCCAGAGATCGAGAGAGAATCTACGAAACGAAATTGAATCAATCTTGAAGATTACCTGTCTGGAGCAAGCATTGAGAAGAGAACTGACAGCGGATTTGAATGATTTTTTCAGATCCGATTGCCTAGAACCCGGAATACTTGTATCATGACCCGATTTCTCCATCTAACCCAAATTATAAACTAAAAGGTTTCTCGGAAGCTACGATTCGCTTCTCTGATACAGTGGGTGAAACAAGTGAAGTGAGTGTGCGTGAAGGAGATGAAATTGAAGAAAATCTGGGTAATGTTGAATTTGGAATTTCGAAAATCATGAGAAACATTTCGGAGGGAAGGAAATAAACAAATCTTAGGGGAAAAATAAAAACCTTTCAAGTATTGGGGTCCATATAAAGCCCATAAATCTTTAGATTTCACGGCCCACATTAGCCCAAACATGGGTAAACAAGCAAGCATGGATGCTAAAACGTTATAGTCCGGCTCGTTTAACATCAAACTCGCACTTATCGTAATTGCTTGTTCATTAGTCTAACTGATTCTCAGTATCATTCTCCCACAGTGTATACGATTAGATCATATTGATATTGTTCAGTAGTCCTTGTAAAACCAGTGAAACTGACTTGTGTAGCACATAATGAAATTGCAAAAACCTTTTGCCTTTTATTAAAAATCGCTTAGACAATCTATTCAAGATCTGTCTAATCAGAATTACACGACCTTGCTTAACAAGTAACTCGACACTGACCAACTCCTAATCTACCCAAGTATAACACAACAACAGTTGTGCTGTACACACTTAGAACACTCACCAAGAAACCTAATGCTCTCTCTAGTTTTCTTGTGAACTCTCTCAATAATTCCTCTAAAGTGCTAACCCGTTCCCTAGGTTAGACTACCGTATATATACCACTTTGCATTCCACAGCTAGCGAATATACACTTTCCTTTTGTTGAGATCTTCTATGATTCTTCAGTATCAGATCTTCCAAATATCCTTTCACCGCAATCCTGCTTGCTCCTCACAAAATCTTCTTGAGTCGTTCAATCAGTTACTGTCACGTCATATGTCACACACCATCCAAAACTTGGATCTTACATTCTCCCCCTTTTTGTCTGAATGTGTCAATTCAAGCTACCTGCAAGAACCATGACCAAAACAGCACACACACAAGCAGTAGCCAAGCACACAAATCCAAGATAAGGTCTAAGCAAGGCATCGTCATTCCAAATTCATCCATAAGTTCTTAACAAAAACCGATGAGAAAATAAGAGTCAAATACGCACACGTGGTGCCAACACAACAACCAGAAAATTCAAACTAAACGACCAACAACAGCAAAACACAGACAACTCAATCACTCATCATCATCTCCCTCTTCCTCTTCCTGCTACTCCCCCTCAGTGTCCGATTCTATATCAGGATCACGTGACGAGGCCGATGGCCCATATTCTCCTCCTGCTTGAATGCACATTTAGATAAAAAACGAGAAAGCGAGGACCAAGGAGGAAAATCAAGAGCATTTACCTTTGAGACGGAGCTGAATGCGGCGTATCCAACGGGCAAGTTGATCGAGATCAGCAGCCAAGGTGGGAAGAGTAGGCGGACCCTCATCCTCAGAGCCTTTCCCAGCTTTCTTGTCCAAGGTGATCCGCAGAGGAAATCCTTGCATTGGTAGATCGCCACGATGTCCAGGGACGATCCGTTGAAACAGCAGCACCTGATGAATGAGGTTGGGGAACATCAGCTTGAGATTCGCCGAATCCGGAGTACGAGCAATGGCTACAATCTGATCATACACCAGACGGCCAAAATTGAGCAGATGACCACGAATGAGAGAGGCCACGAACTTCACTCGATCCTTTACCATCGTGGTATGGTTGGAGGAGGGAATCCAATTCCTGCAACAGAGCTTGTAGAGAACCCCATATTCTGGTTTGAGATGTTTGGACGCAAACCCTTCCAGCGATGTTTCCGTCCACCTGAGATAACCTGGACAGCCTCATCAATATTCATCTGATCCCAGTCCCCAGACGGAGAATTCTCATCCAACAGAAACATCCGATTGATGATATCAGGCGTGAACTCATACATCTCACCACGAATGAAAACCAGATTAATCCCGTTACGATACTCCAAGTCCGGCAAATTGGCATAGAATTCGTGAACCACAGTAGGCCGATACGGTTCAACATCCAAAACCATGTACGTCATGTTCACGGCATCCAAGAGACGGCGCACTCCAACGAGCTTAAAATCATCCAAGGGAAGAAACTTCTGGTCATGAAATGAGCAAAGACTGAGGGAATCATACCTCTCACGAGCTGCAGCGGAAGCAAAGTTGTCGCGATAGTATCGAAGAGGACGAGCGAGCTCGGGTTGCATGCGGTCGCGAGCCAGCGTTGTCTCACGATTAGCGCGATAGCGAGACTCAGAATCCTCATACGAGTTAGGAGGACCCTCTCGCTCATCACCGGACCCATCAAGCATCTCTTCATCACCAGATTCAGCAAAGGGATTGGAGAACAGATCTGCAGGATCTTCGAAGTGCGGCGGAGGCTGAGAGGAGCGACTGGAGTCGGAGCTACGATCCTTGTCATCAGACACGACAACTGCAGACTTGCCATGGCGTTTGCTCGCCTTCTTCTTGGCAGATTTACGGCGAAGAGCGGAGGCAAGGGTTTCATTGTCGTCAGGTTCCCGACGAGAGGCCGCAATTGCAGACTCCATCAGTTTGGAAGCTTGAGATCGTGTACGGCGAGACATTGATCGAGCTCAGAGATTGACACGGTGTGAATTTGGGAGGAATGCGTCGCACACGGTTAGGGTTTGATGGCACACCAAACGTCAGCACAGCATATATTCAAGCGGGAAACCGTAGCATGACCTAACACACACTCAGTAGACAAGATAAGCCCGATAAAAATGGGCTAGAGGCCCAAAAAGAAAAATCCACAGAATGACACAGACCCAAGCATGAGTAACACACAAAACATCACACAGAAACTGTGATCGAGTGACCCATGAGCATCACCTAGGCAAAACAACACCTAAATACCAAAATGCAGAATTAATGTGGAAAAAGACACTCTTATGTACAGCTCACATAGGGAGAGGTGATTACCAATGGTGACAGATTGGGAGAAAAAACAAAAAATCAATTTGTGAGCAAGTAAGGCAGCCAATCCTCCAGCTGAAGTGCTTTCACCTCACTCATTCTGAGTAGGAGATGTCCCGATGCGATCCAGACGTTCATGGCAGATGGAATGACGTTTGTGTGGAACACGGGTATGAGATAGGTGAGTCATGTGTCCACTTCTCCATCGGATTCAGAGGGTACGATGCCATGACAACCACAAGGACATTTTAACCACACTGTGTTTAACATAGTGCATGTGCTGCGTACCCTTAGCCAAGGAGCATTCACACATCTCCTCTTTTTTTTTTTGGTTTTTTTTTTATTTGCACAAGAGAGCATGAAGCATTTGTGGATTGTGTCCCAGTTTTTGTCACTGTCTTTTCATTTGTGCTGCCATCCCTCAGTTGAGGCGCATTCACACACTACTGGAAACGACCCTAGACAGGCATAGAATTACTCCCCTTAGCACATGACACCTAGTCCATATCCATGTTCAACCATTCCTGTCAGTGATCATAACCAGAACTGAAATGTGGTAGCATCTCAATCCAGTATTAGTGACGCTCATCACGGCAACGTATCATCCTTGCACACGTCCTGGATTACACACAGACATTTCCTGACACAGAACTTGCTCAACAAGAGGTGTTAACACAGACAAAACTGTACACCTCGATAATCACCTCTACAGATATGAATTTAGTGTTCACAGACTCCCAATGCCTTTCTAAGATACAGAAAAGTATTGAGATCAAGAGGTTTTATGAAGATATCCGCAAGTTGGTGCTCAGATGCTACATGCTTGATGATGACAAGTTTCTCCTCAACTAAGTCCCTGACAAAGTGATGCCTAATGTCTACATGCTTGGTGCGAGAATGTTGGACAGGATTTTTCGTCAGATCTATGGCACTTTTGTTATCACAATGCACAAGAAAAGGGTCATTTTGAATACCGTAGTCAGCCAGCATTTGTCGCATCCATAAGAGTTGTGTGCAACAGCTTCCAAGTGCAATGTATTCCGCCTCTGCTGTGGAGAGAGAGACGCAATTCTGTTTTTTACTGTGCCACGAGACCACATTGTTACCCAGAAAGAAACACCCTCCAGATATGCTCTTCCAATCATCAAGACAACCTGCCCAATCTGCATCACAAAAGCCTGCAAGATTTGTGTTAGTCTCAGTGGTGTAAAACAAGCCATAGTCCAGCGTACCTCGTACGTATTTGATGATCCGCTTGACAGCAGTCAAGTGTGACTGGCGAGGACATGGTTGATAACGAGCACACAGACCCACGCTGAGACACAGATCAGCGGCTGGCTGTCAGATAAAGTAGGCTTTCGATCATTGCCCTGTACAGCTTTTCACTCACTTTCTCACCTTCTTCATCTCTTGACAGTTTGCTGGTTGTACTCATTGGAGTTTTGGCAACTTTGCAGGTCTCCATCTCGAATCTCTTGACCAGGTTCCGAGCATATGTGCTTTGAGACACAAAAATCCCATCCTTGGATTGTTTAACTTGAAGGCCAAGGAAGTAACTTAGTTCTCCAACCATGCTCATTTGAAACTCCTTTGTCACGGTTTTGACAAAGGTATCCACAAGGTTTTGGTGAGTTCCTCCAAAAATAATGTCATCAACATAGATTTGAACCACCAGAAGCTCAGACCTCTCATCTTTAATGAACAAGGTTTTATCAACACTTTCCCTCAGATATCCAGCACGAAGGAGAAACTGACTGAGTCTCTCATACCATGCCCTTGGAGCCTGCTTCAATCCATATAAGGCTGTTTTCAGCTTGTATACATGGTCTGGAAACTGTGGATCTTCGAAGCCTTTAGGTTGAGCCACATATACCTCTTCCTGCAGAATCCCATTGAGAAATGCACTCTTCACATCCATCTGGTAGAGCTTGATTTTGAGTTTACACGCGATCCCAAAGAGTAACCGAATGGATTCAAGGCGAGCCACAGGGGCAAATGTTTCATCGAAGTCGACTCCCTCTATCTGTGAATACCCCTGAGCAACCAGTCTTGCCTTGTTTCGAATGACATTCCCATCTTCATCAGTTTTATTTTTGAAGATCCATTTAGTACCAACTACATTCACGTGGGATGGTTTTGGAACTAGATCCTAGACATCTAGTCGAACAAACTGCTCTAACTCCTCATGACATGCAGCTACCCAGA